AGTTCTCGAAGATCTTCGTTCGAAAAGACCAGCTAAGCATCATTGGCTTGGTCAGCCTTTACCTGACCAACTACCTAATACTACGCAGGCTCATCAAACAGCGCTTTTTAGCTTTCTTCAGGATTTGGCCCAAACTGTTCGACAGATTCCCACGCGTTACACACCCGTTCGCCACTTTGTTCTCAACTCTTCTCACCTCCTGGGCGAGACAAGCTACCTTTAGCTAGGAGCCTCTTTTCCTTCTGCCCAGCTCCCCGAAAACAACGTTCGACTTGCATGTGTTAAGCATATAGCTAGCGTTCCTTCTGAGCCAGGATCAAACTCTTCTTTTGACTATGATTTGGCCCTACAGTGGTAGAACCTGGTGAACCGGGCGTACTACTTCTCAACCTTCTGTGAACTTTTCTTCTCTTATGATTTTTGCTACTTTGTTTAATTTAGTGATTGATATCTTAGAGAAGCTGGTAAAGTAAAGACAGACTCTTTCGAAAGTAATGGTGGCTAGGAATGGCTTCAGTCAGGTCATCGATTCACCTTATGGTCGACTTGCTTGAATCGAAGAAGAAGAAACCCCCGGACTAGAGCCTTCAGTGCTTTGGTTGGGTGGTCAGGTGAGCCCTAAGAAAATTGGCTTAGAAAAGATGAGATAGGGTGGATGATTGATTGGTACCGGTTAATGATGCGATGGGTCCTAATCAATGTGATTGGCATAGTTCACTTTTAGCCCCAGCAACATATAGCAGTTGCATTTGACCGAGTTGAAGCAGCAGATCCAACCAATCCGTTGACCAAGTGAAGGCTGCATAGGCACTAGTCACGAACGTCCAACTCGAAGCAGCTACTTCACCCCTGGAACAAAGCAGTGGTCCTTCTTCGACCTTCCGTAAGACCACCCCTTCTCCGCACTCAAGTTGCTGTGAGTGAAGACTATCATGCCTGTTTCATGAGCAAACTAACTACCTTGTGAAGCAAATACACCCTCATAATCAATCAAACACTGCCTGCCTGTGTGAACAACCACCAGCTTCAACAGCTACGCCTAATCAATTACTGTTAGGATAAGCGAAATCGAAGAGGTTAGTTAGAAAGTAAGGCACGGAGTGATTAACTAGTTGCGAGTCTTTTGTATCATGGGCCACAGCTACTTGGGTAGAGACCGCTGAACATCATTTGGGCAGGCCTAAGCCCATATAGATTCTGGGTAGCCCCATAGAAAACTAGTATACAAGTAGGCCACATCGCTGTAAGCATCAGCCCCAGGCAATCTTTCTGGTGTGGGTAGTGGTTCATTGGAAACTATTTCAGGTTCCGGCTCATCAACCTGAAGAATGGTTTAATATACTTCATGGAAAAAGGATAGCATAAAAGAAAGAAGATATGGCTTTGCAAGAGACATGATATATTTGAGAAGGGATAAGGTACGTAAGTCAGTCGCCTTAATTCCTACAGTGCGAGAGGTACGAAGTAAGTCGAGTGAAAGGAGAGGGATCTGGCTTTGATAGGGCTGAAAGCTTTGTCAATCGGGTAGCAGAAAGAGGTTGGTCCACAGGTACCTGCCATAGCTTTCATCCGAGGGAGCCTACCTGCCCAGTCATGTCGGTATAGAAGTGTCATAGAGATGACTACTGATAGTTGAAGTAAGGAGTCTGAACCTTCATCTTCTGACGCCAACTCCAAGCATTAGTCGATTAGCAGGGTTTCAGTGCTGAGTTTACATACTGGGTCTCCGAGCTGAAGAAGGTCTCCGAAAGCCCTCTTTCCTACTTCGAGTAGAACCTATTTTCAGTCTAATGCCACATCTGACTCAACAGCTCCTTCTTCCTCTCCTCTGAGAACTCTACTTTGATTCCAGCCTCAACTACTGGTGTGTCTTCTGCTTCCCTAGTGGCATCTTCACTCATGACAGACTCAAGCATCGAGTCTTCATCACTGTCACAGGCTACGGCTTTGCAGTCCTACACCACTGCATCAGGTTCGTTGTCCTTTGTTCACCCGAAACCATTGTTGCTCGGTTCTCCTTTTTCAAATGGGAAGGCTTCCCGGACAATCAACGTAAACAAAGACTCAACCTAAGCTAAGGCTCTTTCCCTCTGTGGTTGTTACGATGCACGAACATTGTGAAAAGGGGGAAGGGCGGCTGTCCGTGCACTTTCCGGAAATGACGGAAATCTAGTCCAGTGCCGCGAAGGCGATAATGTCTTACGATCTGGAGATCTCCGCGGAGACGGATACGGAAACCCCCCGCAGATGGGTAGAGAATATAAGGGGGACCCTAATCTCCTAAAACCAGTCATTAGGGAATACCGACCAAATGAGTCTGTCTGCCGCTTGATTTCATAACAGAGCCGTTATTCCCGGCTGGCATAGAAGTCTCTCGCGCGGGCGAAGGAGATGCATTTCTGGTACTGGTGGTATTGGACAAGAAAAAAGGGAATAATTTCTTTCTTCTTTCTGCCTTTCTTTCCCATGACGACTAGGAACGGGCAAATCAAAAATTTCACTTCGAATTTCGGACCTCAACATCCTGCTGCTCATGGTGTTTCACGATCAGTATTGGAAATGAACGGAGAAGTGGTGGAACGTGCGGAACCACATATTGGATCACTCCAGTGCGGCACGAAGCCGCTGATGCCGAGTCGGCTCCTATGCCGCTAGCTATGCCCTGCTTGGTCCCCCGGCACGGTGGAGGTTCCGTAGCGCGTCATGAGCACCGGGCTAAGGGGCGGTTGAGCAACTCAAGCGAACCGCCCTACCTTACTACAACATAAGGACAGAAGGGAGAAGGTTGTGAAGGTGGCCTCATTATCCACACCTCCGGTCGGATGAATGGAGGACCGACCGACCCGGGTTTTCACGAGCGTTGGCGGGTTCTGGAGTGCCTGTCAAGGGCGCTAGCGCATACCCCGGGGTGATCATCACCACCTGCACCTCAAATCTCGGCACAGTGGAACGTGTAACCCGCCTGCTGTTCCATTCAACTACATTTGTTCCTGTAATCCATAGCCTAACAGAACGCAGCAGCGAGGGGCAACCCGCCCATACAGCCAGCGGGGAGGATGGCACTACTGGCAAAGACCGTCTGGCGAAAACGCCGCAGGCGCGAAGCGTGGTAGGCCTGCGCCGGGGGAGCATAGGGAGGAAAGGGAGCCCGGACGGTGGAAGAGCCAGGGGAGGCCGGGTCATTTGACGGAAATGGAAGGCTTTGGACTATGAACCTCTTAAAGAAGGCCCTATGGAGTAAAGGGAAGTGCATGAATTCTTGGAAAAAGAGGGAGCGAGCCTATATAAAAAATGGAATCAAGCAAATTCAATGAATAGATAGAGTCAACGGTACGACAGACAGCGCTGCCTACACGCGAATTTGCTTCCGAAGTCGACTTCTGGCTCGCAAGAAAGGCGAATAACTGCAACTGAATCGACATAGACGAACTTCTAAACTTAGCACAGCGCTTACCTTATAACTTGACTTGGGAGGGGACCCAGCCCTCTAACGTTGCGTGAGGGGTGCAACGGGATGATCTCATGGGGCTGATTTATTAGAGAATGATGTTAAGTAGCCCTCCAACCATCGGCATACCCTGGCCCGTCAGGGTGCTTCTAACACCTTATCGCATCAATTGAAGTCCACCTTATTGTTGATGAGGCCATTCGATCAATCGGCTCAACCGGATGCGGAAGGGTGGCGGTTTACGATCCTATCTCAACTTTACCTTACCCCCTCCCACCTTCCCTTTTCGCTTCGTATACTCCCCTTTCTTTCAAAGGAATCCCTTTCTTCTCGACCGGATGGGAGGCCTTACCTGGTGAACAGCCTTCCTTACCTTAGGCTTTACGAGGACTCCTTTTTTTACTTCTCCTTTTAGGCAGTTCTCTCTCTCTTTCTCGACTTGCAACTCACTTTTCCCTTTATTCCGCTTCGAAAGGGGTGCGAACGCTAGGTTTTGGTCAGCGGCTTTCCTCAGCCTCAGAGCCGACAAAAGCTTTTTTCTTGATTTAGGAGCGAAAGAAGATGGATCCGTTTAAGAAGAATAAGCAGCTATTTTATCCACTATAGTTCGACTCGAAAGGTCTTTCAGTGACCGAGTTCAGTGACCAAGGCTAGGCAACAACTCACTAGTCGAAAAAGACGCAGCTAGTCTTGGGATCAAGGCTTCTTTCCTTTGCTGAATCAGGAATAGCCGACTCCAGGTAAATGCTTTTCCCAGCTCAAAGGCGATGACTAGTAGATTCGGGGGTACCTATAAAGCGAACAAATGTTCCCATGGTCATGATTGTTGACTAAACTGCCCTTTCTCTGATTCCCCTTGCCGACTCTGAACTAACTCATGCTTGAATGTGAACAACCGATAGAAAGCAGCATTCTACTAATTGGATTACCTTCTTCCCTTCCTTATAGTAGGAATTTCTCTCTCGAACCCTAGAACCTTTGGGCTAGGAACCCGAGAAAAGCGAATGTTCAAAGCTTTCAGCGGGCTAGAGTCGTCTTCTTGCTGTTGTTGAATATGAAGTTGTGATCAGCTTAGCAGTAAAGAGCTCTTGTTTAGCGAGAGTCGTATTCGGATTCTGCTTGAGCGGCCTTCTCTCTCTGAGTTACGGCAAAGGTAGTTCGGTAAGCCTCGTCATCTAGTATGACCAAAGCATTAGCCCTGTCTCTATCCTTGGGCTAAGGGCGCATAGATTGGACTTAGTGAGGTGAGGTAGCTTAGGATGATGAAACCGTACCTTCTCACTTTCAGACTTTCTTGCTGGCTTGACTTCTTGACTTAGAGCTTTCACGTGGCAATCGTTGATGGAAAAAAGAGTGATCAAAATATAAAATAAAGAGGTAGTTGACAGAGGTAGAATCGGCATCTGTCTCGCCTGCTGGAAAGCTTGACTTGGCTATTGAAATCAGCAGCAACAAATCAACTTAATTAAGATTAAGAAGAATCCGTTCTTGGAAGAAGTCCTCACTTACCTTATAGTAAAATATCTGACAACAGATGCGGATTATGTAGCAAATGCCGCTAATGCGTAACACATTGAGTTGGGCAGCTTTCCTTGAGCAGATAGGACACTGCGCCATCAACAGACATACTCGCGAAGAAAGCACCTACCCTGGTGGAACTTAACTGCCTCGATCCTCATCTCGTTCACTCACAGAAGACCTTGCCTAGCTCTACTTTCTTTCTTATACCAGGAAGCCTTTCGCTTGTCCCTTCGCCCACTAGAGAGAAGTTAGCTGGCGGGTTCTTGTTTTCCGATAGGAAGAGGAAGGAAAACGCTTTGCTTCGACCTGACCTTAAAGTGGATGAGAACACGAGGTTAGTAAATCAAGCAAGTTGACGGTCAGAGAGAAAAGAAAAAACACGACTGATAGAAAGAGTAAGAGCGAGAGCTCAATCATAGATAGGGAAGCCCTTTCACAGAATCCGTAGATTCTCTCCCTAAGAGCGGAGCCACTTGACCAGAGAGATAGACGATGTTTGCACGGGTACCCCTTGAATCAATGCATTAATTTGACGTTGGGGCTCAACCTCTTTTTGTTTGGCCCATGAGGATACTTTCACTATACTTGCTCTTCTTGCCTGCTCCTCCGTCTTCCGCTTGTCACGAAAGATTATGCCTTGAAGAATGAACGACTGAAAGATCAAACTCCAGTGCGCTCCTGGAAACTAGAATGCAGCAAGTTCAAGCCTTAGCGTAAGATTCCTAAGGCGCAAGCACTTCCTTCTTTCTCTATTCAATCCACGGCCTACCTCGAGACACCTGTGTCACAACGGCTGATTTTTTGAGTGAGGGAAGCCAGAGCATTGGTCAACAGAGAGAAAGAAGAAGAACTATAGATCGAGAAAGTCACATTAGCTACACCAGACCAGACAGACTTTCTTTTTTTTTACTATTTTTTGACTGACCGGATCGGTCACTCTTTCAAAGAGGGGTGAAATCAAATCCAGTTCAAAGGAAGAGCTCACAAAGACGTGGCCAAATGAGCTACCCAACAGATGACGCCATAATAAGATCTTTCTGGTACGGCAGGTTCCAATGAAGAAGAAGAGCTCAAGTCTGTCCTATGTCCTATCATCGGGCCGTAAAGCCCTCACTCCGCAAGCACTTTGATGAATCTTCTATCAGGTTTGATTTCGACCCTGATGAACCTGGCATCTTTCTTCCAGAAAGCCCCCACGGAGCGGTAACGAAAAGGCATTGGATGGGATGACTCTATCTATGGGCCCAAATGCCACTCTATTATATACGCAACCTCAC